GTTTAGGGTTTAGGGTTTAGGGTTTACCTCTGCCCCCCTTTTTGTCAAAGCTCGCAGCCATAAGAGCAGCCACCGCCGTGCCGTGCCCATAAGTGTCCGTGATGTCGTTTGTGTCGTCCACAAAGTCCTGAACCCCAAACCCCAAACCCTAAACCCTAAACCCTAAACCCTAAACCCTGGACGTTTGCTGCCGCCTCGCAGCTTGAAACTGTTGCAGTTTGCAGTTTGCTTGCAGCATCCGTGTCCGTCGCTCGCTGCCTCCGTTCTTGGGAGCGCAAACCCAGGGTTTAGGGTTTAGGGTTTAGGGTTTAGGGTTTACCCAGCCCTTGCAGTCGTTGACGTAGCCGTTGTTGTCGTGGTCCACTCCGTCGCTGCAGTTCTCTTTGCTGTTAATCCACAAAATATTATTTATGTCTTCGTGGGGGCCGCAGCCAGTGTCCAGCAGCGCCACCACCACTTGCTGCTGCTGCGGCTGCTGCTGCTGCGCGCCTGCAGCAGCAGCAGCAGCAGCAGCACAAGCAGCAGCAGCAGCAAACGCAGCAGCAGCAACAGCGAAAGACGCAGCATCACGGGCAGTTCGAGGAGGCGAAAAAGCTGTTGCAGCGATCCCTAGGGCGCAGGTCAGCTGCTGCTGCTGCTGGTGCAGCAGCAGCAGCAGCAGCAGCAGCAGTTGCTGCTGCTGCTGCGGCCTCGTTTCCGTCTCTTTCTGGTGTCTCTGCAGCTAAACTCCCCCACTACTGAGTCTCCCTACAAATTACCTATTTCTCCAGCAGCAGCAGCAGCAGCAGCAAATTTAACTGTCTCCCCGCAGCAGCAAAAAAAATTTAACTCTCCCCGCAGCAGCAGCAGCAGCAAACTCAACTGCCTCCTCACGGCAGCAGCTGCAAATTCAGCTATTTCCTCTTCTTCGCAGCAGCAAATTCAGCCCCTCGTAGCAGCAGCAGCAGCAGCAGCAAACTCAAAGCTTTCTTCTCAGCGGCAGCAGCAAATTCATTTGTCTCTTCGCAGCAGCAGCAGCAAATTCATTTGTCTCCTCGCAGCAGCAGCAGCAAACTCATTTGTCTCTTCGCTTCGCAGCAGCAGCAGCAAATTCATTTGTCTCTTCGCAGCAGAAGCAGCAAATTCAATTATATTCTCGCAGCAGCAGCAGCAAATTCATTTGTCTCCTCGCAGCAGCAGCAGCAAATTTATTTGTCTCCTCGCAGTAGCAGCACTTTTGCTCACTTTGCATTTGCTGCCAGGCTTTGTCAGCTCCCAAGTTGTAGAGACCTTCTGCTGCTTGAAGATGCCACTGCAGCGGGAAGTAGGGGTCTTCAACATTTGCTGCTGCTGCTGCTGCGCGGGGGCTGCTGCCCCGTGCTGCAGTAGCAGCAGCAGCAGCAGCAGGAACCGATCCCGTCAGTGTCCCCTTCATGTCGAGAGACACTTGAGAGAGACAGCTGCTGCTGTGTGTCTCCTTCAGCAGCTGCAGCAGCTCTTCTTCACTCTGTAACCCAGACTCCTGAGCAGCAGCACAACTCACCTGCTGCTGCTGCTGCTGCTGCTGCTGCTGCTGCTGCCGTTGCTACTGCTGCTAAGGTGGAGTCTAAGGGGGGCGGGAGCACTGCGCTACGGTTCACCACGCTGCTGCTGCTGCTGCTGCTGCTGCGGAGGCTGCTCAGCACTACAGAGCAACAGCAGCAGCAGCAAAAGCAGTAGCAGCAGCAGCATCAGCAGCACGAACCCGCATGAACTCTTTGAGTCTGGAAAAAGTGACAACGTCAACATCAAAAGAAGATAAATATTTGGAGACAGTTAGTCCTTCTTGCTGCTGCAGCAGCTTCTGCAGCAGCAGCTCTTGGCAGAGAGAGGGGGAGGAGACACACGGAGACTTTTGCTGCTCCGCAGCTCCGTCGGCTTGCTGCCGTTGCGGCAGCAGCTCCTGCTGCTGCTCCTGCTGCTGCTCCTGCTGCAGCTCCTGCTGCAGCTCCTGCTGCAGCTCTGCTGCTTCTGCTTCCAAGTCAATGTTGTGGCCCAGCAGCTGCGAGAGAAACTGCAGCCCGAAAACTCGGTCATCGAACTGCTGCTGCTGCTGCTGCTGCTGCTGTTGCTTCTGCTTCTGCTTCTGCTGCTGCTGCTTCTGCTGCTGCTGCTGCTGCTGCTGCTGCTGCTTCTGCGCCTTGTCTCTCAAAAAAACGCCTCGGGTAAAAAGCACTTGTCCCTTTCCTGCTTCAGCAGCAGCAGCAGCACGCGTGACATCTCGGTCGAGCTGTAGATACACCTCAACTGGCTGCTGCTGCTGCTGCTGTTGCTGCTGCTCCCGCTGCTGTCGCTGAGCAGCAAGGCAGCTAAAGTCCCACTTCAGCAGCAGCGTGATGGAGTCGGGGCTGTTCTTGAGCTTTCGGAGGGCCCCCTGAGGCGCAGACGCTGCAGCAGCAGCAGCAGCAGGGTCTGCAGCAGCAGCAAGAGTGGCAGCAGCAGTTGCAGCGGCTGCTACTGCAGCAAGGGCAGCAGAAGCAGAGGCAGCCGTAGCAGCAGCGGCAAGAGCAGCAGCAGCAGCTTTCTTTTTACCCTTATTGTGGAGTCGTGAGCAGCAGTACTTTGTCGCATTGCTACTTTTGCTGCTGCTGCTGCTGCTGCTGCTGCTGCTGCTCCGTTAAGTCTCCTGCTCGGAGCAGGGTGAGCAGCAAGTGCAACAGCAAGAGCCTTCGCAGAAGAACTAGACTCTCTCCTAAGAGACACGGAGCAGCAGCAGACCCGAATGCTGCTGCTGCTGCTGCTGCTGTTGTGAGCTAATCAGCAACTTTAAAAGCTTTGCAGGGAGAAGCGCAGCAACAGCAGCAGCAACAGCAGCAACAGCGCGGGGAGCAGCAACAGCAGCAACTAGGTGTCTTCCCCTAGGCTCGTTACATCTGCAGCAGCGGCAGCAGCAGCACCAGCAGAAACAGCAACAGCAACAGCAGCAGCAGCAGCAGCAGCACGCATCCGCTATAGGCCG